GCCGCAGTATCCGCGGGCGCCCAGATGGCCGCAGTATCCGCGGGCGCACAGATGGCTACAGTATTCCCGGGCACCCAAAAAGCTCCAATTCTGACTGGCACCAGAATGACTACAGTATCTACAAGATCCCAAATAGTTTCAGTGCCCACTGGTTCTGGAACGGTTACAGCGTCTGGGGGCACTGTGCACGGCGAGGGGGCACGGAAGCCACGCCACCATCCCCATCGCCTTCCTCGGGACCTCCTGCTGACCCTCGATCCTGTCCTCAGCACCCTTTCTGCTGGCCAGGAGGTGGTAAGCAGCAACTGCAGGAGGAGAGCCTTGGAGAGCCCGTGCCCGATGCCAGCCCCTTGTCCGTGGCAGGGAGAGGGTGGTGGCGGCCTTCAAGGAAACAGGAGCGATGCCCAGCTGTGCCCTAAGCGGAAAAGACTGGAAAACGGGGATAGTCCTGGTGGTCTAAGCCTGGTGAATGGCCACAGCGAGGATCCTGGCCCTGGCAAGGATGCCAAGTGGAAGAAAGAGGAGGATGAAAATGTTGCACCCTTGGGGTGCCAGGAGGCTAATGCGATGGGCAGAGCAGCGCAGGACATGCACTTGAGACTGCAGACCCAGGATTTGGTCAATAACTACATTGTGCCCTGCATGAACTGCTATGGCATCTGCGTCAAGGACAACTTTCTGGGGGAGGGACTGGGCAGTAAGGTCCTCCTGGAAGTGCTGAGCCTTCACCGGAATGGGATCCTGATGGACGGGAAAGTGGTCAGCCCTCTCAGTGTGCCCACCAGGAGTATCCGAGGTGACAAGATTGCCTGGGTGGATGGCAAGGAACAATCCTGCACCAACATTGGCCTTTTGATGGCCAGGATCGACGAACTGATCATCTACAGTGCTGGCAGGCTGGGGACATACATGATCAACGGGAGGACTAAGGTAAGGGGTACTTCTAGGAGCTGGACGTGCTAAGGGTTGGAGCCTTTGTTTTTTTTACATCCAGCTCTATTATGCTTCACCTGTCAATAATGTGCATTCTGCTATTAAGTTAACATTGCATTGTAAACAGGTAGGAAGGAAGAGGATTTGAGCCATACCCTCAACTCTCAACAGGCCCTCTTGTCCTTATGTGTCTGTGTCAGGGCCTACACTCACTGAAGTTACAATTGTAGACAGTCTCTTTCCAATGAACTGAAAGTAAAGAAAGAGCAGGGCTATAGAGACAGTGTGGGTCAGTGGCATGAGGAAGGTTTCAGAGAAGCAGGCATTATGGGCTGAATGGCCTCCTCCCTCCCCCCCACCCCATAGTAGATGATCAGCTTGTCAATCCTGGCCATAAAGAGGCCAATGTTGGCGCAGGATTGTTCCTTGCCATCCACCCAGGCAATCTTGTCACCTCGGTTGCTCCTGGTGGGCACACTGAGAGGGCTGACCACTCTCCCATCCATCAGGATCCCATTCCGGTGAAGGCTCAGCACTTCCAGGAGGACCTTACTGCCCAGTCCCTCCCCCAGAAAGTTGTCCTTGATGCAGATGCCATAGCAGTTCATGCAGGGCACAATGTAGTTATTGACCAAATCCTGGGTCTGCAGTCTCAAGTGCATGTCCTGTGCTGCTCTGCCCATCGCATTAGCCTCCTGGCACCCCAAGGGTGCAACATTTTCATCCTTCTCTTTCTTCCACTTGGCATCCTTGCTGTGGCCATTCACCAGGCTTAGACCACCAGGACTGTCCCCGTTTTCCAGTCTTCTATACACATTTTGCTATGTGTATAAAACGCTGACAAAGTTTGACAGGCTAGATGTTACGAGTCTGTTTTAGCCCCGACCGCTTCAAACAAGATAAGTTCAGGAAACTAGACCAGCTTGACAGCCTCAGGGCAAGGGTTCGGCCATTTTCTTTTTGGACTGAGGAGAGATTTCTTTGTTCGGTGTTTGTGTGAATGAGTGCGTTTCTCTGCCTCTGAAGGGTGTGGGTGCTCGGACGGTGAGGATATGCAAGTCTAAGAGCATTAAACTTCTGGATACTCAAGGGAATAGGATGGGCTATGGGGAGTGGGTGGGAGAGTGGGGTTGAGGCCTATTAGATAGGAAGGGGCTCAAAGGCCTGCTCCTGTATTGCGCATGTGTATACCTAGTTGTTTTTTCCTCATTGACCTGTTCAGAGATGTTATTATACGCCTCTGGAGCAGGTGGGAGTTGAACCTGCGTTTCTTGGGCCAGGGGTAGGGTCACTACTGTTGCACCACATGAGGGTTGTGTCCATGTGTATGTTTACGTTTTGCCTGATGCTTTTGCCATTGCGATAGGAAAAGGTTCAATCATCTCATCACAGCAGTTTAGTACGAGGTGACGTGTTAATTGGATTAAGCTGGTTTTAGCCCATAACTGTTAGAAATAGGCTCATCCTGAGGTTTAGAGGGCAGGGGAGGGGTTTATTCTTGATCGACTGGCAGCTGCTAATAAAACCCTTGCTCTCGATGCCCTGAGAGGTAGGCACCGCAGGGGATACAGTGCTGTATTCCCCCCTCCCAATTCCATTTTGATTTAGTCCCTCCCTTCTCCCCCCAACCCTCTCCCCTTTAATGATTTGCATTGCTGTTAATGGGCTTTGCTTGTAAATATTCAATTGGCTACAGTGTTTTACTGGTAGTAGTCAGTAAGTTTTTAAAAAAACACACAAAAAAGGGTCCCGACCCGAAACGTCAGCTTTCCTGCTCCCCTGATGCTGCCTGGTCTGCTGTGCTCCTCCAGCTCCACGCTGTGTTATCTTTTTAAAAGAGTCACAGTGATTTACGTGGTTGGAAAGTCACACAGATGTGTGGGATAGAGGGAAGAAAAATGCCCTTGTTCCTTATGGTTAAGGGAACACATGCCAGGAGGGATTTGATATTCCCTCTCACGGTGGAATAGCTAACCCTACCCCTCCAAAAGAAAACACTCTGAATGGGGGCTTCAAGGATGATAAGCTATTGCAGTTGGAAATTTCCTGAAAAAAAAATGAAGTGACGTGCATTTGTGTAGCACCCTTGACCACCCTAGCGTTCTGAATCTCCTTTGGAGCCAGCTTTAAAGCACAGTTGTTGTCGGAAACGTAGCACCCAATTTGCCTACAGCCAGCTCCCTTGAGCTGCAGTGTGCTAATAACCAGATAATTTTGTATTTGGATAATTAATGACCCAGGACGTGTCTGGGAAGACTGCCATCTCTTTGAAATAGTACATGTGCCATCTGTTAATGCCCTCTTAAGAAGGCAGATGGGACATTAAATTGACGTCTCCTCTGAAAGGTGGCCTCTTCAGACTGTGCCGTGCTCTCTTTAGTGTCATCAGTGACAGTCAGCGCACTCTGAAGGAGATGAGGAGGGAGAGAGACAGAAAATTCTTTATCTTCTACCTGCTGCAATACATGATTTTAACACAGTGACCCCTCAAACAGAGGGAATACTGCCTTCAGACCCGGTTCCTTCTCAGGTTAGGAATTAGACGTAGCACCTATGGGGAGGCAATGGCCTAGTGGTATTATCACTGGACTGTTAATCTAGAGACCCAGGTAATGTTTTGGGGACTTAGGTTCGAATCTCACCACAGCAAATGGTGGAAATATTGAATTCAGTAACTATATGGAATTAAGAAACTAATGATCCACTGGCGATTGTCAGGAAAAACCCATCTGGTTCACTAATGTCCTTTAGGGAAGGAAACTGCCATCTTTACCTGGTCTGGCCTACATGTGACTCCAGACCCACAGCGATGTGGTTGACTCTTAACTTCTGTCTGGGCAATTAGGGATGGGCAATAAATGCCCTCATCCCATAAATGAATAAAGAATAAAATAAACCTCTTTGCTACAATGGATGATGAAATAAGCAAAGCAGGCTGTTTTGAACTTGGTAACAAGAGAGTTGCATTTACCTAGCTCCTTTCAAGGTGATTGGATGTCACAAAATACTTTGCAGCAAATGAGCTACCTGTCCAAGCATAGCCATCATTGTCATCTAGGAAACACGCCTGCCAGTTTTCTTTGTTACACGGCAAGATCCCATAACATTGTGCAGTGGTAATGACCAATTAATTATTTTTGGTTGTTGTATTAAGGTGGGCTACAATGTGCTGGGCAGTGCCATTCTCTGCTTCGAGATGATGTCATGGCCCTCACCATCTCGAGGGCCTCAGTTTGATTCGTCCTTGAGGATACTGCAACAGCACAGGCCTCAGAGTGATCGCCTGCCAAAGTCAAAAAGTCCTTTCGGAGGATGATCTTTCTTCTAGTTGTGCCCTCATCACCACCCTGTCATAATTTGATTAGATCCTTCTCAGAATTGTAGAGCCCCGTGGAAGCAGGCCACTTGGCCCATCGAGCTCACACCAGCCCTCCGAAGATCATTTCACCCTATCCCTGTAACCCTGCATGTC